TCTAGCCGGGTGAGCCCGAGATGGGGGGGGGGTAAAGGGAAGTTAAAAGATTTGTTAAAGGATTAAATAACCCTCCACTTAAAAGTGTGTTATCAGCAAAACTCCTCTTTTAAAACCTTTATAATCGCATTAATAATGATGATGATCATACTTTAATTTTATATTTAAACATTTTATCATTTGTGAGTTGTGGCGGCGATTTTTTCTGAAAAGGCAGTTTTCTACATTAAACCGAGCAAAAAAATATTTAAGATTTTTTTAATGGAAAGGGATACTGAACAAATGAATAAAATTAATAAATGAAAGAAAGAATTCAAGGTTGAAAAAAACAATAATTGAAATATTGAATATATGCTTTTAAAGACGAATAAATAAATTTAAGCATGAATAAATGAATAATTAAATGAATAGCTGAATTAAACAATTGATAGATTCATAAATGAATGAATAATTGACTCGCAAGTGTTTCTAAGGCATATGATGTTCTTAGATTGATGCATGATGAATAAATAAAGAGATTCACGAATAAATGAATAAATAAATAAATGAATAAATGAATAAATGAATAAATGAATAAATGAATAAATAATAAATGAATAAATAAATAAATAAATAAATGAATAGGTGAATAAATTAAAGGATGAATGAATGAAAGGATGAATAGATAAATGAATGGCTGGCTAGTGTTCCTAAGAGGGTTAGCAGATGATGTTGTCAGGTTGACCGTAAACATCACATCCGGGGACAATGTGGCAGAATAAACCGGAACAAACTTAAACTGAAAATATTCAAAAATTAAAAACATGAAATATTATTTTTTAAACTATTTGGCCGATTTGCCTCAAATCTGGATTGGTGACATCGGTAGAACCACGGGAATGTCCTTACTCTAATTAAAACGTTCTAAGTTGAGTAGGTTGACTTTTATAGGTAAAGCTGGGGTCTTAAGTTTGTGTAATAAATAATGTTGTTGACCTGTAAAGTTTCTGTTCTTCTGTGGAAAGGATTTCCTAGATTACAGGAAATAGAAACAGCTGACACAAGTTCACAGAGTACATCTTTAGTTTCATCAGATCTCCCGACATAGGTGAAAATTTCACTGAAAATAAATTAAATAAATTAAAGATTGTTACTAATTTATTAATGACGTCATTACTAAGACACAATCTTAAGAACTTTTTAATGCAGTCTAGTTGCTAATTTTTTTTCGAGAAGAGCCTGTTTAGATATTTAATTAAAAGAATTAAACGAATAACATAAATTAATGAATTAATGAATTAATGAAGAAATTAATTGATGAATTGATGAATTAATGAATAAATGAGTTAATGTACTATAATGAATTAATATATAAATGAATAAATGAATTGATAAATCAATGAATTAATGAATTAATTCATTAATATATAAATGAATAAATGAATTGATAAATCAATGAATTAATGAATTCATGAATTAATGAAAAAATGAATTTATGAATCAATGAATTAATGAATTAATGAATTAGTGAATTAATGAATTAATGAATTAATATATAAATGAATAAATGAATTGATAAATCAATGAATTAATGAATTAATGAATTAATGAAGAAATTAATTTATAAATTAATGAATTAATGAATTAATGAATTAATGAATTAATGAGTTAATGAATTAATATATAAATGAATAAATGAATTGATAAATCAATGAATTAATGAATTAATGAATTAATGAAGAAATTGATTTATAAATTAAAGAAAGGATGAATTAATGAATTAATGAATTAATGAATTAATGAATTAATGAATTTATGAATTAATGAGTTTATGAATTAATAAATTAACGAACTAATGAATTAAATCAATGAATTAATGAATTAATGAATGCATTTAGATTAAGCCGACTATAGAAGGTAAAAGTGTAAAAGATAAGACCATTATACTTCATACAATTCATTCAACTCTATAACATTTCTCACTTGTATTAAAGATGTTATATTTACTTTTCTTAGCTTTCAAAAGCTTTCTCTTTTTCTTTTTCTTTTATATTATTCCCTCTCTTAATTTAATCCTTCGCGTTTCTTTATATCTTTCTCTATTCTCTTTACTTCTTTCTTTTCATGATTGATCTTATTCTCTTTCGTTTTTCTCTTTCACGTTTTTTCCTCTTTCGTTTTTTTCTCATTGAATGGGTTAATAAAATGATTAGCGAAAAGATTAATGAAGGGATTAATGAAAAGATTAATGTAATGATCAATGAAAGGATTTTATTAAAGGATTAATAAAAGATTTAATGAAGGGATTTATAAAGGGATTAATAAAAGGATCAATGAATGGATAAATAAAAGGATTATTGAACGGATTGGAAAAAGGATTATTAAAAAGATAAATGAAAGGAATACCAATAGGATTAATGGAAGGATTAATGAACGCATTACTGAAACGATTTAATGAAAGGAATTAATGAAAGGAGTAATGAAAATGTTAATAAAAGGATTAATGAAAAGGATCAATAACAGGATTCATGAAAGGATCTATAAAAGAATTAATGATTATAAAAAATGCAATGCACCTGAAATTAAGCATAGCGGATGCAGTGTATGCAGGATCACCAGTATTTGATATTGTTAGATTTACCACCAGCTCCCTGCCCTCTCCTAGTTCTAGTCCTAAATATAATAAATATAAAAAATATGTAATAATCAACAGTTCATAAAAGGCGCGGGCGTTTTCTTTTTTTGGTTCAACAAAAAGTAATTGAATAATTATCTAATCTTATATCTTTTCAACCTGATGAAGATAAAGTTTACACCATCAAGTTACAAAGAATTACGGATGAAAAAATAGCAGTTTGTGAAAATTTACTTTCTAATAAAAGGGAGAGCATATCGTGCACAGACAAAAATAAAAATGCGCCAAAAAAGTGGTGAGCGTGCACACCTCTAATCTCTAACAATGATTGGCATCTTCTTGTTAAGATTAACGCAAGAAATGGATTAAAGGATTTAAGAATGGAATGATCAGAAGAAATGTGTAACTCAGCCAATTAAACAGTGATTTCAAGGATAGACGATGAATAAAAAAATGAATTAATAATTACAAAAATTAAGAAAAAAATCAATGGTTAATTGTTATGAGAACATTTTTTCAAACCAATGACAAAAAATGTATCCATTCATCATTTTTTAATACATAAACAGATGACAGAAATGATTTTTGACGCTTATATGGGGGATAGGGAATTAATCTACTATTCTACTAATTTCTTTTTATAAAAATACAAATCTAAAGTTTATCTCCACCAAATGATTGTATGAAATTCTACCTTCTCCATTTATCTCTAAACCATCCTCTCCAATCAGTTTAATCCCAGCAACTAAAAATAAACAATTCACATGCATTTAACCTCAAATTTAATAGTGTCCATATTGGATTTCGAAATCAAGCTTTCCTGAGTTTAAAAGTTTTCACCTCGTGACATGAGCTTAACTTTAGTGATATTCACGTCAATGATAATTTAGATTTTTTGAACATCGTATATTTAGATAAAAAAAAATATATGTTTGGTTCAAGTGTCACAACTTTGAACCTAATAGTGGTCCCTTTGTTCCAGTATAAGGGAGATTCACACTAAACTAAGCTAGTAGGGTAGGTCAAATAGGTCAAATAGGTCAAATAGGTCAAATAGGTCAAATAGGTCAAATAGGTCAAATAAGTCAAATAGTTCAAATAGGTCAAATAGGTCAAATAGGTCAAATAGGTCAAATCGGTCAAAATGGGCGCACCATCAAAGTTGAAACCGGGGGTGGGTCCGGGGTGGGAATTCAAATTGACCATTATAGTCCACAGTGGATTAATGTGAGTAGGTACTCACCAAGATTAGATTGACAGAAATCATCATCTCCACAATCCAAGTGGAAGGGGATCTCTAGCTCCTTACTGGCCTCCTTCATGTTCAGGATAGGAAACTAAATAGATATATAGATAGATAGACAGACAGATAGATAGATAGATAGATAGATAGATAGATAGACAGGCAGATAGATAGATAGATAGATAGATAGATAGATAGATAGATAGATAGATACCTGGTTTATATTAGGAATGATATCCCCCTGTATTGTCGGCTCATCCTAAACATTTAATAATAATTAAAAATTAACATTTTATCAATGAAAACGTTTTTTTAAGTCGGTAGAAATCAATTAAATCAAAACTTTCAATAAAAGAGCAGTATCAAAAATTCCAATGAAATTTGACACCAGCTATTTTTCAACGTTTTAATAAACAATTAATGAAATATTATAAGGATAGTTGAATGGCGTTTTTTATAGTCTTACAGTAGTTTAAGTTAATCAATAAGTATTGATGTTATTCGAATTTATCATTATTTTAATGTCTTTAAATTGACAAAAGAGGCAAAAACTTTCATGCATAGGACATTTTTCTTTAATTTAATTACATTTGATACATTAAAACATCCTCTCATATTGTTGTGTGTAATTTGTTTGTACATGTAATCCCTTTAAGTTATGTGTTAGTAAAAAGTCTCTTCACATTTTTGTTTTAAATTATCTCTTAGAGTTTGTACATGTAATCCCTTTAAGCTATGTGTTAGTAAAAAGTCTCTTCACATTTTTGTTTTAAATTATCCCTTAGAGTTTGTACATGTAATCCCTTTAAGCTATGTGTTAGTAAAAAGTCCCTTCACATTTTTGTTTTAAATTATCTCTTAGAGTTTGTACATGTAATCCCTTTAAGCTATGTGTTAGTAAAAAGTCCCTTCACATTTTTGTTTTAAATTATCTCTTAGAGTTTGTACATGTAATCCCTTTAAGCTATGTGTTANCCCCCCCCCCCCCATTCTTTATAAATAAAAACTTAATATAGCAGCGCATAACGTAATAATTCTCAACTTTTTTGTAGAACTGGCCTGTTTAAAAAAAATTATTTTCATTTAATATTTTTGCTAGCATTTTGCTGATTATTTTTGCAGATGTTACATATTGTTGTAAATTCAAAAGAACTGCAGTTTTTCAATTAAATTAAACTGATAATCCATTATTGAGCCACAAAGATAACAAACAATTCATTATTGAGCCACAAAGATAACAAACAATTCATTTTTGAGCCACAAAGATAACAAACAATTCATTATTGAGCGACAAAGATAACAAACAATTTATTATTGAGCCACATAGATAACAAACAATTCATTATTGAGCCACAAAGATAACAAACAATTCATTATTGAGCCACAAAGATAACTAATAATTCATTATTGAGCCACAAAGATAACAATTGGGGAAAGACAGTTACGTCAAATGGCTCCCGAACCTTAAATGACGTGAAAAAATGCATTTGCGGCAACGTGCTCCCCAACAGTTCTCCCGAGCCCTCGCCCAAATCCTCTAACAATTTTCAACCCCATTTCAATCTGGGCTGCAGAAGCTATTTGAGTGTGGTTGCCCAATCCCCCCCCCCTTTTCATAGCAAAAATGTTATCTGATTATTATTACCGTTCCAAGGGAATATTCTACCAAAAACCGTATTGGAGATCTGATATCAACTGTACCCTCCTGAAAAAAAAAATATTAAAATATGTGTTTGCACTTTGCAGATATTATTTTGCGCAACAGAGTTGATTTTGAGCAATTTTTCTAATTTCATTTAGTTGAAAAAGACCTTTTATTAACGATCGTATTACTGAAGTTTACCTTTAAATAAACAAGTTCTTGAAAACATCCATCCAGCATATATTTCCTTACTTGAACTCTCTTCTCCATTGTATGGGTCAGCTCCTGCTCAAACAGATTTATTAGTTCCAAAATTGACCACCAGGGGATTTAGTAATTCAATAATTGTCCACCAGAGGATTTCGTATTTGAAAAATTGCCCACTAGAGGATTTAGTAGTTCCATAATTGTCCACAAAGTGATTTAGTAGTTTAATAATTGTTCACAAGTATAATAGTAGGGGCAGTTGATCAATAACATTTTGCTGTAGGGTTTGTAATACAATGTCCTAGTACAGTGTAAAAGTATTTATTAGTTTGATAATCTTCTAGGGGGTCGTTTGTTGTGCAGTATTGTCCCGAAACAGATTTTATGTAGGGGGTAACAGTTCAAAAATGTTCGCCGGTGGATGTTTAAAGATTTTCTTTAAAGTGGTTAAGTTGTTCAAATATTTTTTGTTTTAAGTTAATATTATTCTTAAAACATCAATAATTAAAATCAAGATGATAAATTCCAATTTCCCGTTTTTGGAGGGATTAGATTTTGTTTATCGAGCTTGCTGGTATTTTTAGTTAGTTAAGTATATATAGGACCACACAGGTTTATACCTATATAAGGGTAGGTCAAATAGGTCAAATAGGTCAAATAAGTCAATCATATTTGAAATTCAATTACCGAGTATAGGTATGGGGTGTAGAGGGTTAGGTTTTTATACCCAGTTACTTACACGGCGTGCTTTACGTTTATGATGGGAAGAGGGTGGGGAGGGGTGAAAGGAGAAAAAGGAGGGAGGACTAAAAGAGCTAGAAGGATTAAAATTTGAAGGGAATTAAACCATGGATCACATAAATTTCAACCAGTTTGACTTTTTTCTTGATTTCCATAATTTTGTTAAACTCTTTATGAAGTGTATTCGGTGTAAATTTGTATATATATAATAAATATGTATATATATATATGTAAATATATACATATTTTACAAATATATTTTTACTGATATACATTTATTTTATACGGCCCTTAAACTATAAGTTTAAGATGCATATTTGTATGCGGGAGGTATGCAGGTTAATACCCTAAAAGTGGGCAGTCTTAAAACTGCATAAAAACGGTTTTAATGGTTAAGGGTTTGTAATAATTTGTTTCTCAACCAGAATTCTTTAAGGGTTGGAGGGAGGGGCCGAGGGGCCGGGAAAAGGGGGGGGGTAGAGGGATTTTAAACCACATTAAATACACAAAAAGTTAAGAAATAAAAAATATAAACTTTGATTTTGAATGCGGTGGTAGGCGATAATATCAATATAATGAAGACGACTTTTTTATTTCAGTTTTTATTATTTTTTCGAATTACAAGTTTACAAGTAATTAAAGAGAAGCTTTTTTCATTGACAGCTTCTCTTTGTTTCCATTTTTGTGCATCCAGGCTGTTTAAAAGCTTAATAAAAATCTAAATTGAATTCAATAGTCTTCTTATTATCTTGATATAATCGCCTTCCATCATAGTTATTTGATTTTTTCCAAAGTTTTTAAGTTTTTTGTTTGTTTTTGCTGGTTTGGTTTTTACATTCTATTTTTTTTATTATTTTTTAAGTTTGTTTCTGTTCTGTTTGGTTTGGTTTGGTTTTTACATTTTATTTTTTTTATTATTTTTTAAGTTTGTTTCTGTTCTGTTTGGTTTGGTTTGGTTTTTACATTTTATTTTTTTTATTATTTTTTAAGTTTGTTTCTGTTCTGTTTGGTTTGGTTTGGTTTTTTCATTTTATTTTTTTTATTATTTTTTAAGTTTGTTTCTGTTCTGTTTGGTTTGGTTTGGTTTTTACATTTTATTTTTTTTAATTATTTTTTAAGTTTGTTTCTGTTCTGTTTGGTTTGTTTGTTTACCTTGGTATTTGTATCAAATCTGACTCTAGAGAACTTCCTTCCTCCTGGTCATTTATATTTCAATTTTTACATCAATAATAATGATACTCTACAGAATTAAGAATGTGAAGATATCAATGCAAAATATGATTGACCAAACACCAAATAATATTTTAAAGTTTGTTGTGTTTTTTTAGCTTGCCTAGGTAAGGTTTCTGGACAAAATCTAAAGTTTTGCCCCCCAAAAAAATCGACATTTCATAATTTTGAAAATGGACCAATTCAAACAAAACAAAAAGTATAAAATTGTTTTCAAGAAATGGGGCGGAAAGCGAGTTTTTATGCTCTAAAGTTTGATTTATTTTCCTTTGAAAACTTCAGCTGTGATTTTGTATTTGAGCAGAGTGGTTTCGATGTTTGGCGGGAAGTTTCGAATTTGAAAACAGGACTCAAGCTGGAAACAAACCTAGAAACAATAAGAAATATTGCAGATTTTTATTATTTTGTTCGTGCAAATCCCCGAGTTTCTTCCTAGAATCAGGTCACGATTTTTAGAAAAATCATCAATTATTGGGTGACATTACTTGTTGCTAAATACATATATGAACTACTTTGATAAATCTTTTCTCCCAATATTAGACCTTCTTGTACCAATATCATTTGTACATACTAAACAAATTTAAATTTCTTTTCCCCAGACTATTGGACAATGTACAGGATTGCTACAAAAAAGTGAAAGAGTTATAACGACCTAAGGCTCTTTTTAAATACCATATTGGGAACTTTAAAAACGAATGTCTTCGTCTTAAGTAATTTTTCAAATGTTGCTGAACAATCGGCAAAAACTTAAAGCAATTCGTAGATCTAAAAACTAACTAATTTTAATACGATTTTTTAAAGTAACACTTTGCATTTTGGGTTTAGTGAAAAAAGTTTGAAATTAAAAATTAGTTCCAATCTATGATTTTAAACTCACTAAATTTAACCCAAGCAACCCCACAGGCCATTTCCCTGTATGCATCTTGCATACATTGCACATATGCATTTAAAAGTATACATTGTTATCCAATTGCATTCTTTCAACAAAATCATATGGCAAGGATTGACAACAAGACCCCACTTCTGCTTGACCGGCCTGCATCGTAATTCGTAATTAAACTGTTTGAAGAAAACTCAACATTTTGGAAATAATATCCGATTTATTTTTTAAAAAATTTGAAATTGCACACAGTTTGTTTCGAATACATCCTGAAAGTGAGATATTTTTAACATTGACAACAACTTTCGAATTACAAAATCGTGAGGGATTATTAACAGTGTAACTCACTAGGTCGCAAAGCCGTAAAAAAATTCGCATTAAATAAACTTAATATTTACAAGAGATTTGTGAACTCTAGCTGCCCAACGATTTAAAAAGTTTGTCACGAGAAATAAAAAATCATTTTTCATAATATAAAACATGTCCCAAGTGATATAAAACATGTCCCAAAGGATATAAAACATGTCCTAAGGGATATTAAACATGTCCCAAAGGATATAAAACATGTCCTAAGGGATATTAAACATGTCCCAAAGGATAGAAAACATGTCCCAAGGGATATTAAACATGTTCCAAAGGATATAAAACTTGTCCCAAGGAATAAAAAACATGTCGCAAAGGATAGAAAACATGTTCCAAAGAATAAAAAACATGTCCCAATGGTTATAGAACAAGTTTCATATGGGATATAAAACATGTCCCAAAGGATAGGAAACATGTCCCAAGGAATATAAAACAAATTTTATATGGGCTATAAAACGTGTCCCAAGGGATAAAAAAACATATACTACCTCAGGTGAGGTTGGGTCCATGTCGCAGCCCGGGTTGGTCGGGTTGACCTTCATGGTTTTATTTCCAAACCAGGTTAGTATATCAATCACAGGCCTAAAGACAAGCAAAATTCAAGGAAAAAAATAATAATAAAGATTGTTAAGGAAATGTCAAATTTCGATGTTTTTTTCATGTTTTTTCATAAATTGCAATGATAACTTGTTACCTGAATCAAAAAAAAATTTGTTTAAATTAATTAAATGTCTCTCAAATTTGAGGGTTTCTTTTGATTTCTTTCGAAATTTTCTCGATTTTTTTTTTCCTTTATCTTTGCAACCTGGACCATTTATATTTTGAATTATGAATTGTGCTTGAACAAATAGTCAAAGTCTGAAATATCAAAGATTTCCACCAACATAATGCAAAGATATAGGGATGCAAGATTAGAGTTTCGGATAAGAGCCCAATACTAATATTTTATCTTTCTTAAAAGGAATATAGTCTTTGCAACAAACTCTAATTTAATAATCACTATATCTTTGCAACGCAATGTTGTAGACCTTAGATAATTTCTGTTGGATAAAATAAGCTAAGTTTAAAATATCAAAGGTTTACAAGATCAAGTTGCAAAGACATAGGGATTAGAGTTGTGGCAAAGACGCAATTTCTTTCTATTGGAATAAACATTTTTATATTTTTATTTTTATGACCTGGATCTAATGATGACAGCAGCATCACTAGCATAAGCTCCAACCAAGATATCTGTATGATTATTCATATCCAGGTCTAGTCCACCTGAACAACAGTCAAATTCAGTTTTAGAGAAATTAATTTAATCATTTTGTACAGCTACAAGTTCATAGATTACTAAATCAATAAATAATATTTTACAGATTTATACCTCCTTAAAGGGACCGTTAAATGTTTAAACGTATTTTTTTAATGGTAGAGTACGGTTTTGAATGCCCCTTTATAAAATAGAGGGTCATATGAAATTACTTCCCCTTTTTACACAAAAAATGCTAACAATTTCACCAGCAGATATATAGACACCCCCCCCCCAAAAAAAAAAAATGTTTAAAATACCCCCCTTCCCTTCTCCTGAGTCCTGAAATGTTTACAATGTTCATGTTTGTGCAATTTTGTGCATGTTGTTCTCTGCACTTTGTGTTCACTGCAACTTCTTATTACAACGTAAAGCAATTTTGTAAACGGGGTTGTACATAATTTACTTAATAAAAACCCTGTGCTTTAAAAGCCCATCGGAATCCATTTAAATAAAAATAATTGTCTGTTTTATTTTGCAATTTTTTATGAAGAATATACACCCCTGCAACTACCCAATTCTCTGCGGATGGATTTGCACATGCCATTTTTTGGGCAGAGAACGTAAAACAATGTTTTTAGTTCCAGCGAAAAATATTTTAATAATACCTATTACAATTTTGAGTTCTAACATTTATCGATGGAATATATCATTTAAACAATTATATTTCTCTCTTTTAAACTTGATGTGACCATTCGCTTTGAGATCGGGCGTTTATATTACTAGTGCTCTGGTGGGCAAAAAGTTTACTTTTATCGTTTTACACCTTTTTCAGTTCCTGTTATAAACTCATTTAAAATTGCAACTCATAACTTAACTGATATACAGACGAACACAGAAAGGGGGGGGGTGTAAAGGGGGGAGGGAGGGACAGTAGGAAAACAGTTATTTCAATGGTGCGCGATTCTCCATTTTCTTTTTTCTTCTGCGATTACGATTTTTATTTTGAATTAACAATCATAAATATCTTCTTACACATAAAATAATTTTACCATTTAATTTTGAATTTTAATTAAGCATCTGTTTACATAAGACATAACCAAAAATAACATAAAATTACTAATTGAGAGAAAAGAGAAGGTAAAGTAAAAAGAACTTGCCAGAAAGAGAATACCCGAATGTACGAATAGGCAGGCCAGGAAGATCTTCAGACCTAAATTAAATTAATATAAAGCTTGTTAGTGCGTCTGTACGATAGGGTGTTAATACTTTTATCGGATAGGATGTTAGTATAATGTATTTACGATAGCTCGTTAGTACGTCTGTATGATGGCTTTTTAATACATTTATACAATAGGGTGTTAGTATAACACATGTAAAATAGCTCGTTAGTACGTCTGTACAATGGCACGTTAATATGTCTTTATTTTAGCTTGTTAGTACATATGTACAATAGCTCGTTAGTACGTCTGTACAAAGCTCGTTAGTACGTCTGTAACACTGGAGCTCATTAGTATGACTGAACAATAGCTCGTTAGTACGTCTTTACAATAGCTCGTTAATATGTCTTTATTTTAGCTTGTTAGTACATAAGTACAATAGCTCGTTAGTACGTCTGTACAAAGCTCGTTAGTACGTCTTTACAATAGCTCGTTAGTACGTCTGTGCAATAACAATCGTTAGTACATCAGTGCAATAGCTAATTAGTAGGTCTGTACAATAGCTCGTTTGTACGCCTGTACAATACCTTGTTAGTACACCTGTACAATACCTTGTTAGTACGTCTGTTCGATAGCTCGTTAGTACGTCTGTACGACCATGAAGTGTTGACCTATACCTGACTATTTGAGCAGGTATGGTATTGAGTCCGTCAGGACCCCCGTGGTAAAGGTAAACTGCCCCTCGGTCCTCATAAGGTGCCCCTGAATCCGATTCAGTCAAAACTTTTTTTAAATCAGATTCTGAGAGTGCCATCTACAATTCACAAAGGTACTCTTTTCTATCTGTAAAACCATTTATTTATCGAATACGAGCAAAAGATAAATATATTACAACTGTAAATCGTGTATGGCCTGTAACCTGTTTTAGTTTTAATTATTAAATATCAAATAGCAATATCATTAGAATATAAAGAGAGTTTTAGATATTTTAATTAAAAAAGTTTCATTCCAGTTTTTGATGCATGAAAAACAAATCTTTTGATATTCTAAGGTTTTATTGTCAATTTTGATTTTGAAAATCTTGAATCTAATAATTTGGGTGCTGACTAGTTCCTATGACGACATCAACAAATCCGTCGGCATTCACATCACCCGCCGAAGATATAGCAAACCCGAAGCGGGATTCTGGACCCCCGCCTCGCAGTATTATCGGCGGTTCTTTCGGGTTTAACCCGACCGCCGAGTTTTTGAAGTAGTAAACTGCGCCCCCGAACTCTCTAAATTCGGGATTATTTTTTATTCTTTTCATTTTAAGAATGTTATGCATCTCTCCAAAGTCTTGAGTATATAATATCAAATGTTGAATTCAATTTTAATAAAACGTTTAATTACAGTATTTTTAAGACAATTAAAAGGGCGTAGCCTCTTTCATAAATTTGGCAATATAAGAATATGAATGAAAGAATAATAAAAAGATAATTAAATTGATGAAACTAATAATAATAAAATGATTATAATCCTTCCTCGAATGATAAAAAGGTGCGGATACAAAAAGGTCGGTGAATCCGTCGTTATTTACGTCGACTGCGGCGAGTGCGTATCCGAACTGTGACGCAAATGCGTCCCCCGCCAAAACCAGCTGAACGTTCAATAACTCACTGTGACACTTGACAAATATCACAACCTGAACAAATAAAATATGGTATTTTTTCGGTTGTGAGGGAATTTATAACATTTAATAGTTCACGTTGTGGGATGAATAAGTTGCTATGTCCACCTGCTATTAAATAAGTTATATAAATATAACTTTGTCCTATCATATGCGTGCGAAAAAAATTTTGTTTGGATTATTACTTTTTCTATATGTTTCTCAAAATGAAAGTATTTTAATTTGAAAGTAAAAATTCCGGCAAAAACTTTTTCGCACTTAAATATGAATAGATTTTAAGGGTTTTAGTTCGTTATTTTGCAATTTTGCAAGTTTTTAGCAAAATGTTTTTAAAGACGACCTAGTCCTAACAACATATTAGTGCACGGCTGAACATTAGATAGGATTAAACGTTTTACAATTTAGAACTATGTATTAAAAATTTTTCAATAAAAATGTTTTGTTCTTTTTCTAGAAAATGAAGGCGCGAAGCGTTCTGGAAGATCTCAGGGAAATGCATGGGGGGGGGGTTGTATGGAAGAAAATTGCATAGGAGGGGAATGGGGGGGGGGGTGTTAAAGTCTTGCTCAGGATTTATAACCATCAAGTTAAATTGTAAATTATAATAAGTTTAGTAGGCAATTAAAGATATATGTATAATTGTTATTCTAGTTTATGTACTAAAGAGTAAATCCTGAAATTTCAAGGGAATGTAGATGAAATTTCAACTGACACTTCATTTAAAAATGTACATGTCAGATTACTGATAGTACACTTGAAACCCTCTGAGTAACCATGTACTGCAAACTAGATAGTAGGAGAAAGTCTAAAAATGTATGCAAAATTACTGGTACGATATGTAGACCTCGTTGAGTTTCTTTAGTTTTGATTTTACGAACAAGTGTGAAAAAAGAAAATATATTCTCCTACATATTATTTTAAATACGTATACTGTCCTTTAATAACTGTTTCTCCAAATTTAAAATACCTCTATCTATACTCTCCTTAAATAATTGCTTCTCCAAATTGAAAATACCTCTATACTCTCCTTTAATAACTGTTTCTCCAAATTAAAAATAAGTCTACTATCCCTTTAATAATTGTTTCTCCAAATTTAAAATACCTCTATACTGTCCTTTAATAATTGTTTCTCCAAATTTAAAATACCTCTACTATCCCTTTAATAATTGTTTCTCCAATTATAAAATACCTCTATACTGTCCTTTAATAATTGTTTCTCAAAATTGAAAATACCTAGGGTTTCCATTCGCAAAACTTTTGCGCAATTTTTGCGGAACGAAACGCAAATCGCAAAAATAAAATTTGCGCGAAAATAGCGCAAATTTTGCGCAAAAGATTTAGCCATTTCGTGGAAACCCTAAAAATACCTCTACTGTCCCTTTAATAATTGTTTCTTCAAATTGAAAATACGTCTACTGTCCCTTTAATAACTGTTTCTCCAGATTGAAAATACGTCTACTGTCCCTTTAATAACTGTTTCTCCAAATTTAAAATACCTCTATACTCTCCTTTAATAATTGTTTCTCCAAATTGAAAATACCTCTATGCTATCCTTTAATAATTGTTTCTCCAAATTGAAAATACCTCTACTGTCCCTTTAATAACTGTTACTCCAAATTGAAAATACGTCTGCTGTCCCTTTAATAATTGTTTCTCTAGTTTACTAAAGAATAAATGCTGGAATTTTACAACGTGTTTAAATAGGTTTTCCTCCAGAAAATAATCATTTTAAAAAGTCGTGGCCGGGCTTTTAACGACCTTGTTTGGAGAATTTTGAGAAGCAATCAGGGGTTTAAAAGCGGGCATTAAACTGATAATACTACGAGGGGTCGAGTAATAAACTGTCTGCAGTATAGGTAAAGGTAAAAATTTGAGGAATTCAGGGCGCCCCACGCCACGCTATTTTTCTAGTCTGAAACCAATAGATCTTTAATTGGAATCGGATTTGGGAATTTATAATTGGAATTTTGAAATCGGGAAATTAGGATAGCTGTTTAGATTTTTATAACAGACACAATTGGCATTATAGGAGCTTTTTTAAAGTATTATATAGGACCTTTTTCAAACGCTGGGGCCATTCAAAAGTAATTGTACCAATTTGGTTCAGCCGTTTTGACAATCCAGACAGTTTTAACAAACAGATAAATGGACAAATTGATATATTTATGAATTACTTAGAAACAATCTTAAAAAAAATGACGTCATATATATTTATAAATATATATATAACTATAAAGCAATTATCAGAGCAGGTTAGAAAACATTCAAACATTCGAAACTAAACTAATAAACAAAAAATCCATAGACATAAGAGATTCCGTTCCCTTTCCCTTACGTATAAATACGTTTGTATCTACAGGGTCCTCATCATAATTTGATAAATAAAGTTTTTCGAGTATTTGCGTATTTTGGCGTTAGAGCGTCCCATATCTAATATAAGTGTATATGTGTCTGTGTTAGGAATTAAATTTAATATGTATACAAGTCTGGGCGGTAAACTAGAAATACCCGCCTAAGGCTGGATTTTCTAACTTTTTAAGATTTTGCTTTGCACTGGTGGTCCCCCCCCCCTATAGCCCATTC